TACAGAGGGTGTCTTATAGAAATTCGTGGGGATATCTTTTTGGTCAATCTAATGGAGTTGCCTTTATAGGAGTTTGACTTGATTCTTGACATGAATTGGTTGAACAAGCATCAAGTTAATCTAGGTTGTGAGACTAAGAGAGTTATTCTAAAAACTCCTGATGAGAGGAAGATAATGATGATTGAGGAACATCGTGGGTTCCTGACGAATGTTATGTATGTTTTAGCAGCTGAAACGATTATCAGAAAGAGTTTTGAGGCATTTCTTGTTTATATTTTGGATACCAAAGGTTCCCGATCTAATTTAGAAAGAATCCAGACCATTAAGGAATTCTCGTATGTTTTCCCTGAAGAGTTTTTTGGTTTACCCCTAGATAAAGATATTGAGATTGAAGTCTATTCCAATTTTACACTAGTTTCCATGGCTCCTTACCATATAATCCCTAAGGAGCTTAAAGAATTGAAAGTCTAACTCTATGAGTTGTTGGATAGGGGATTCATTTGATCTAATTCTTCATCGTGAGAAGCTCTAGTTCTCTTTTTCAATAAGAAAAATAAGACATTGAGACTTTATATTAACTATTTGAAGCTGATCAACAAGCTCACAGTCAAAAACAAATATCCCTTACCTAGGATCGATAATATGTTTGACCAGTTTCGAGGGGGTACAATCTTTTTAAAGATAGACTTAAGGTATGGATACTACCAACTCAAGGTGAAATATTTTGGCATCCTAAAGACTGTTTTTCATACTTGATATGGTCATTATGAGTTTTAGTGTTTTTATTCGGGTTAACTAATGCCCTTACTACCTTTATGGATTTGATGAATCGGGTGTTTCGACCCTATCTAGACTAATTTATAGTTGTGTTCATTAGTGATATATATATGAGGATAGTCCTGTAGATTTTTTGGAAGCATAAGTTTTACGCCAAGTTGAGCAAATGTGAGTTATGGCTCAGCGAGGTGACTTTTCTAAAGCATATCGTATCTATTGAAGGTATTCGGGTAGACCCAAGTAAAGTGGAGGCTATTATGAAATGAAATCAACCCAAGAACGTCTAATAGATTTGTAGATTCTTGGGTTTAGCTGGTTATTACCATCATTTTATCAAAGGTTTATCCATCATTGCAGCTCCACTGACAAATATCTTTAGGAAAAATGTTCTATTTGTCTAGTCTAAGGATCAACAATATAGTTTTGGGAAACTAATTATTGTTTTGACTGAAGTCCCAGTGTTGATTCAACCTAAGTTTGGGAATGATTTCTCTGTATACAATGATGCTTCTCATTCTGGACTAGGATGTGTTCTAATGTAGGATGGGAAGGTTGTGGCTTATGCGTTCCTTCAGTTAAAATCGCATAAGCGTAATTATCCCACCCATATCTGGAATTAGCTATAGTGATCTTTGCTATGACACTATCTCTATGGAGAAAAGTGTTATATCTATACCAACCATAAGACTGTGAAGTATCTGTTTACTCAAAAAAATGTGAATTTGAGACAATGCCTCTTGTTGGAATTTGTGAAGGACTATGATTATGAGATAAAGTATCATCCAGGCAAGGCCAATGTGGTTACCGATTCCTTAAGCCGTAAAGTGGTATCTGATCTAAAAGCATTATTTACTAGGTTGAGTTTATATGATGATGGAAGTATGTTGGCAGAGTTACAAGTTAAACCAACCTTAGCCGAGAAAATCAAGGCCAAACAACTTCTAGATAGTTCCTTATTTTCCATTATTAAGTATGTTGATCAAGAATGGAGCTCAGATTATACTTTTAATCATGATGGTATTTTATGTTTTCATGGTCATTTTTTCGCTACTAAAGATGATGAGTTGTGATAGACTATTCTTTAGGAGGCCTATAGTAATCCTTATATTATGCATCTTAGTGGGGAAAAGATGTATAAGAATCTTAATAAACATTATTTTTTGGTTGGCATGAAGAAAGATATTTCGGATTACGTGACGAGGTGTCTGGCTTGTTAGCATGTCAAAGAAATGTATCAACATTCGTCTAGTCTGTTGCAACCTATCAAGATTCCAGAGTGAAATGGGAGAGAATTACGATGGACTTTGTTACTGGCCTTCCTCTAACTCCTTGTAAAAAGAATTTTGTCTGGTGTTTGTTGATAGACTCACCAAGTCAGCTCACTTTATTTTGGTGCAAGTTAATTATTCTTTGGACAAGCTTGCGAGGTTGCATATCTCTAAGATCATTAGACTCCATGGTGTTTCATTGTCTATCATTTCTGATCGAGATCTGAGATTCACTTCTAGATTCTAGAAGGTTCTGTATGAGGCTCAAGGTACTCGTTTAAACTTTAGTACGACTTTCCATTCACAGACTGATGTTCAATTAGGACGAGTGATTTAGGTTCTAGAGGGTATGTTACGAGGTTGTGTGATCGACTTCCGTAGTAGTTGTGAAGATTTCTTACCTTTAGCCAAATTTTCTTATAATAACAAGTATCATGCTAGCATTCGTATGGCATTGTTTTAGGTTTTGTATGGGCATAAATGTTGTACTCCTATTTGTTGGACAAAATTGCATGATACGAAGACTTTGGGTCTAGTGTTAATCCAAGAGACTAAGGATATTTTCATATTGATCTGTGATCGCATGAGAGAGGCATTTGATAAACAAAAATAATATGTTGATCAGAGGAAGAATGATATCAAGTTTGAAGTTGAGGATCATGTTTTTCTGAAGGTATCTATGTGGAAGAAGGTGCTGAGATTTGGACGTAAGGGTAAGCTGAGTCAGAGATTTATTGAATTGATTTTGATTTTGAAGAGAGTTATACATGCTTCTTATCATCTTGAGTTGTCTCCCCAGTTTAGTCATATTCATGATGTTTTTGATGTGCCTATGTTGAGACGGTATCGTTTGGATCCGAGTCACTGCATTCAAATTGAGGATGCAGACTTGACTCTTAATTTGTCTTATGTGGAGGAACTTGTTCAAATCTTAGGCTGAGATGAGAAAATTCTTCGAAACAGGTGGACTTCGATGGTCAATGTTCAGTGGATTAATCGTAGTCTCGTAGAAGCTACTTGGGAAACATTGGAGTTGATGGAGGCTCAGTTATCGTATCTGTTTAGATAAGGTAAATTTCGAGGATGAAATTTCCTTTAAGGGGGAAGAGTTGTCACACCTCAATTTACAGGCTAAATTTTTATTAAATTTATTTTAGGGATTAAATTAAAATTTAAGTTAAATTCAAGGACCAAAGTTTATTTTTAATTAAATTTGAACCAAATATATAACTTAGGAAAATTAAAGGACTCAAAGGGTAATTTTCTTATTTTTGGCTAAGTTTGGCTTAAAACCCCTACCACATAAAACTTTCCATTTATAAAACCCTCAAATCTCTCTCTCCCATATTTTCTTTTTTGGAAAATTTTATCCAAAAAACTTCAAACGTCATTTTATCGTCGATCGAAGCTCTATTCTCGATACCACCCATACCATCGTGATCCTTACGTTGTCACGAGTTCACCAATGTTTTGAAATATACATTACATTTTTGAATTGTTTTAGAATTCTGATAATATTAAATATTTTGATTTCATTATATCTGATCTATTGTATGCATTAGGTTGATATCTGATTTAAAGTATACTTTTTACATGATCTTTAGTTACATGATTTAAAGAGGGGTAAAATCTAAAAATATAAAACTTGAAGGGCCAAATAGGTAGTTACCCCTATATATTTTTAATGATAAAAGATTTTGACGGTATCAAAAAAAAAAGCATGATCGATCCCATGAGAATTGTTTTCATGTTAGTTTTTTTTTTATCATTTGTGGCCATGGAATTTTCATTATGTATGGTAGAATTGGTGGGGTTGCAGAGCAAATACAAAGAAAACAAGAATTCACATTAAATCTACGTGGTCAAGTAAGTTGATCTAAATGTTTAACGTATTACACGTCTTCTATTAGTATTACTGTGAATAGTGGCGGTTAACCAAAGCCGATGGGGGTAGTTCTCCGGTACGTTAGTCTAATATACGATTAAAGGAAGATGTATTGGAAATGTTATTATTTTTTTAACATTTCTGGTAAAGCGCTACTTAAAAAATTATTTTTTACCAGAAATATTAATTTCGTTACCTAATTTATGGGAAAAAAAACCAGTAGAAAGAATAACATTTTAGGTAGCGCGTAAAAAAATAATGTTTTTGGTAATACTTTACTGGAAATATTAAAAAAATCAATAATATTTCTAGTAGCGTCTTTCTTTAACCGTATATTAGGTTGTCTTACGGGAGACATAGCACTCGAACTTTTGCTTAAGACCACCTATTTTTATTTTTACCTTTATTTAGACTTCTAATTTTCTTAAATTTTATAAAATTATTAATTTTCAATCTCCTTTTTTTCATCCCTCTTATTACTTTATTAAATTTTGAATTAAATATATATACATATGTTTTTCCTTTTTCAATTCTCTTTCTTCAATTCATCAAATATTATTGAACTCTTAGTCTTCTTCACACATCATTTTTCAAGTTTTTATTTATTGTTCAATACCAAGATCTCAAGCATACTTATATTCAAATTATTTTATTTATTCTCTCTTAGCTATATTTAAGGTGTTTTATTAACAAAGTAATAAAAATAATATATTTGATACAATTTAATCATTTTTCTATGATTTGTTAATATAATATTAAATTAATTATTCAGAATAATAGAATATACATTCGTTCTATAAGGGTTTATTTTTGAGTTTTCTCTCATAGTCCAAAAATATATGAGACGGCTCTATTTATTATAAAACTATAACATTTATGATCGTTTTATTACTTTTAAAATATTAGTGTAAAAAAGAGAAACTTATTCATAATTTAGTGATATCATTTATATAGTTTACCCTTATTATTATTTACAAGGAAAACAATAGGATTATAGGCGTAGCATTGGCATTTGTGAGTGCTTGGTCTGCCACACCCACACGGAAAGATGGAAGCTCTCAGCATGGTAGCAGACGATTCATTTGAACTGGAAGCCATGTGCAATGAGGACTCATCTTGGCACCCTTGTCGAGTATCCCTCAGGTCATTCTCCTTCAAATAATTGAGTTTCCCTTTTTTCCCCTCCATTTTTACCAGCATTGTCTTTTTAGTTTTCATTTTTCAATAATCCCTGTTCCACGTTATGAAGAAACCCCCGGCTTGTTCTATGAATCGTGGGTAGGTTCTATATGATTTTCTGACTTCAAACGATCACTGATCACTGGGTTTTATTTCATTCACACAAAGGTTAATAAGAAGAAAAGAGAGAGCGAGGGAGGGTAGATTTTACTCTTAAAGTTACTGTTCCAACTGTTGTAGGATAATGTTCCTAAACTTGCATTTGCATTGACATTTCTTTTTGTTTAAACTGGATTGCATTGATGATCGTACGATTAATTTTTTTTGGGTACCTTTTAGAATTATGTTTCCAGATTGGGTTTTCAATGATTTGAAGTGTGAATTCTGATCATTTTTTTTCACAGCTGTTCTGAAGAAAGTCTGGTTGTACATTTTGGGAGCCACGAGCTGGAAGATATGCTGTTGAAGAAGGAAGAAGTTATTATTCATCTTCGTTTTCGATCTATGCCGCTTCGAGATGATGACTGCTGCCGCATTGAAGAAGGTGAACGAGTTCTTGTCAACCGAAAATTGCAATCCAAGAACATCTTCTACGATGCTTCGGTGGAAAAGGTGCACTTCTATCTTCATATAACTACAGATTATGCTAGACAAGTATGACAAGTACCGGTTCATTAGTCTTCCAAGCGAAGTTGCATTATTGTGTGTTATTAGATCTTATATAAATGATTGAAGTAACATCACTATATTTGATTGGTAGAATTAAACATATGTAGTTATGTTATTCAAGAGACTAGTTGCTACTATGAATTTATTTTCATATTCAGCATGAACCATCAAACCATGGTCCAGGTGATAAACTTAAAGAAGTAGCAAAAGTATGAAAATCAGTTCTCAAAATAATTGTAATGTAGATGTTGATTGAAATCTCGTTAAACTAGTAGAGCCTCAGAAATCGATAATAGTATCAAGTATCTCTTTTCCATAGCTTAAAAAGCGAGTTGAGTTTATAACTATGTTCCTTAGATAGTGTGCTCCAATAAGTTCATAGTGAAGATATATTCATTGAGTTGCCTTCAATAGTTCTAAACATTATTGCTTGTTCGTTTTCTCACAAACTTTTGTCGTAAGCAGGTGGAAAGAATTCGACACTCAAGAAGGAGCTGTAGATGTACTTTCATGATCAAATGGCTCGATAACGAGCTTGAAGGACAGACGCTTACTGTACCATCAAGTTCAATCATGAAGCTTTCTACCAAGAGCATCGGTGACTATCCAATTGTTCATATACTCTTAAAACCAGAAAAAAATCCAGATTTATCATATTCATCTCCTTTATTGACCATTCCCGACGAGATTGATGCTGACATAGAACTTAATAAGTTGCTGCAAAAGCAAATAGAACAGATTACCAACTTAGCTGATGCACCCGAGAAAGATTTTCAGGATGATTTTCTATGGAGAAACAAAGGTAAGCATCTTGGCCGTTGCCATTATTAGAAAATACCAAATGCAGACCTTTTTACTGGTTATTTTACCTCAAACATAGTCCATGTATCCACGCAGATAATTATCATCATCCCTGTTCTTTGGTTTTATACCATGTTTTCAGCACAGTATAGGACATGGTGAACCTTATGATTTATTTTTACTTTTCCTTCCTTCGCAATGAATTGGGACATGGCTCTATGTGGTACATATGCTGGTTGGTTTTTACTTGACCAGATTATGACTTTCTGTTTCTTTGATGAAATTCAGATTTCAGCATTTTTATAAGGAAATAGACCGTCTCAGTAAGAATTGTTTTCTTAATTTGATAAGTACTAATGATGTGTTTCTATGTATGACAATTTCTGTGGGATTTTACACTGATGCAAGAGATGTTAATGTTATAGCTTAGAAGTGCTTACGCTCCATATATATCAGATTCCATGTGGTACAAATCATAATAACTCAACGTCTTCTTTTTGCAAGCTATTGATATAATCTTGCATGTTAATACAGTTCTTAGCAAGGGACAAACACCCCGCAAGCCTACTGTTGAATCCAATTCATGTATTCCATCCTTGAAGAGGATGACAAGGAGTAAAACGAAACTGCAAGTGGATATAGAAACGAAGGATCAATTCGGCACTGCAGCTTCCATGCAAGAAGAATTCAATCAGAATAGGTCTCAACTACGCCCTCTTGCTTCCCGTGCGGCTCTAGCATCGTCCTTGTTAAGTGTCAAGAAGTGTCTTGAAATGGATTTTAATTCATGTATGACTGACAACATGTTTATGAAGGGTAAACATTTGGCCATCTCAGTTCCACTTGTTTCAGATGCTTCCCATAAAATATCGTCACTATTTTCAGCCAAAGGAGATGAATCATGCAAACCTTCCTCTTGTGTACCAACTAAGGTTTGGGGAAACGAAAATAAGACCTCAGAAAAGATCAACTGTAATGCTGAAGATAAGATCTTTGCTCCTGTGAAGGTTACAGCTGAAAAAGTTACCACTGAAGCTGCTATGACTTCTGAACTTGCAGTTGCTAGAGATAAGAAGTCCTCAGTACTAAATGATTTTAATGCAAGTTCAACAGCTCCTATGAGATTAACTCGCTCAGCGATGCGAAAAGGGGCTGTTTCTCCAAATGAATGCATTGAGGTTAAGATCTGCGCCGACAACCAAAAGAGAAGGATATCTGGGAACAAAAGCAAGTTGTGTCATTCAACAGTTCATCAAGAAAATGAAAATTTGGCCAAAGAAGAAGATAACAACTCAACTCCTCTTACAGTTTCAGGTTCATCTGAAAGAAACATTGCTATTCCTGAGAGCAATGTATCTTCAGTGGAAAGAACAAAATCCAAAAAGACAAAAGATGCCTCTGCGCCATGTAATGTGAAGCATCATACCCTTAACACTTTACCAATGAAAAAAGAGCTGGATTGCAGATCTGTTTCTGTTAATTGTTATACATCTCTATATAATGAAAGCATATAACTGCTATATTATTCTTTGCTCTTTTTGTTGATTCATTTAGTTAATTGGTTCATAAATACCATCTTAATTTAGGATCTTGCAATGGTTTCGGTATTGCAGGCCAGGATGGACAGGTTGTTAGGACTGATCACAGCAAGAAGAGAAAAGTGGTTAATGCCAATAAGCACGGCCAACGTTTTTCACCTCGAAATCTTCTACCTCAGACTCGCTCCCAGAGCAGGTCCCACCTCAGGAAGAGAACCTATTAGCAGTTAGAACACTTAAATTGCTAGCTCAAGTGTACTGGACATGATCCGTAATAGTTATAACTTGTTGCTCTATATAATGAAAATGTTGAACATGATAAGATGTTGCAGGTTAATAGGGTTATGAATAGTTTTTCTATGTACTGGACATGCTGTCATCAATATGCAGTGCTCTTTTGAACTCAGCTATCTGTTATTATTACTATTATCGTTCTGCTGTGTGATGCTGAACTGCATATTGGTTGAGTTTACAGCAGACATACTTCCATCGATACAGTGACGGTATCTCATGGTTATGGATGATGGGCAACAAAGGTTAGACTGAGAAGTCGTCTTTTGTTTCATATTCTGTTACATGCACTGAAGAAAGATAGGGTATTGGAACAAAATGATCTCTGTTAGAGGTCAAGTTTAAGTAAAATAATGTCTGCTGCAATTTTGATACTGAACTTCCAAGTGATGAAAGTGCTGCCAATGATAATGCATAGGCCATTGGAATTGCTACCATCATTTTCCTGGATCAAATCCAATGCCGAAAGCTACATTTTCTCTGATATTCAACCATCTCTAGCTGCAGATCTTCAATAATATTTTTGTGAATTTCATTGCAGAAGCAGTATTTGGAGCCTAATTTCTGGTTCCTGGCTTTTCATTGCCGTTCCTACAACAGGTTCACACACAAAACTGGCTCTTTATTGAAATAATTATCATGTATTTAGCAGAGCTCAAATTCTGTATTGCAAATGAGAACCACATCAACTGATATTGATATGTGAACAACATCAAATGCAGATGTCCCTACACGATTGAGGCCTCAACAAAACAGCATTGAGAAGATTAGGAAATCTGATCTTCAACATACAATGAGAATCGATACTAAGATTAAGAATAATGGGGTTGGAAAGAAGCTTAAGAGCCAAAGCAAGTCTAGTTTCTGCATCAATAACTTGATATAAGTCATAGAAATCTGCATCAATAACTTGATATAAGTCATAGAAATCGAAAAAAGAAATAGCTGACCCACTGAGGGGAGAGTTCAACAAGGCATGTAAAATTTAAACAAACTGTTAACCAAGCTTGATGTCGCACGAAGAGTATAACTCACGCAACAATTGCCTACCACTATGTATCTATCCAAAAAGCAGGCTAGCTATGCACAGGATCGTATACAAAATTAAATACCACAACCGACCTCAATCGCTATCCAAAAGGATAGTTCCCTTAAGGCTGTGCTCAGCACCTATGTTGCACTGATACGGATACGAGACGGAAAACGGTAATTTTTAAAAGATAAAATAACTTCAGTGACCGAAAATGTCTTATAATATACGATTTTAACCAACCTTTTTTGGATTTGCCAAAATGACCAACAAAAGCGCAACGCGAACTCTAATTTTTCAACTCAGTTTCCAAATTCGCAACGCGATTTTGCCATAGTCCAATTTCGCGTTGCGATTTTCCAAATTTACGTTAGTCCAAATTCGTTGCGATAGTCGAAGTTCGCGTTGAGATTTTCCAAATTCGTTGCGATAGTCGAAGTTCGCATTGCGATTTTCCAAAATCGCAACGACTGGTGGTATTGCATTTGTTTCTTAAGAATTTTCTCTAAAAAATTAGTATCCGCGCGGACGTGTCGAAGACACGTATTACCACGACCACGACCCGACCCGAGACGGGACGGCGGCGGCGGCAGTGCGCAAGAGTCCCCCTTGTTCTCTTCCACTCAACAAGGAAGTGGGAAATCAAAGCCTTAAATACCCATTCCCAATAGTGTTTCCAATACTATATGGGATTGAACATTACCAACACTTGGGAATCTTTTACACTATCGCAACACATTCTTTATTGTTTCAAACTAAGATCTTACAAATAGCTTGAGAATCTTTTACACTATCGCAACACATTCTTTATTGTTTCAAACTCCACGTTAATTTAGAATAGTTAAAATATAAACTTATTTTGGATTTTTCACTATCGCAACACTTTTTCACTATCGCAATAACACGTTTTTCAAACTCTCGCAACACATTTTAACTATCACAACACATTTTTCAAAATCGCATTGCGAATCTTACAATCGCATTGCGAATCTGGATATTCACATTGCGAATTTGAAAACTGAGTTGAAAAATTAGAGTTCACGTTGCAATTTTGTTGGTCATTTTGACAAATCCAAAAAAAATTGGTTAAAATCGTATATTATAAGACATTTTCGGTCACTGAGGTTATTTTCTCTTTTTAAAATTACAGGGTACGGGGACGACAAGAGTACGCATATAAAATATTTTTAAAATTATAAATATATATAAAACAATTATAAATAAAGTCAAATATCAAGAGTCAAACAACAATATTAAGTTTAGAACAATAAAATCCATAAACAAGCCACAATATTAAAATGTCAAATTTCAAGATTCAAACCATAATATTAACTCTGGAATAATGAAATCCATAATAAAATCATAATATTAAAGTGTTAAATCTTAAAACTCAAACCATAATATTAAACCCAAATCAAACATAATGGGACAATTATGTAAAAACATAATGGTTAATCTCAAATGCAGATCCATAGGAATTTACAACAAATAGATCTATTGAAACACACTGCAACAATGAACGATCCCTTCCTGCCAAAGCCTTTCTGTCCACTCCCAAGAATAGATCGAATACTAAAGCAAAGGAACGCCAGGCTAATGCAAATCCAGGAAAAAACAAAACAATAATAACAAACTTGAACCAACACAAATTCACAACGATAAGAACGCCCAACAATTAAAGCACATCAATCTCTCCAAGCAATAACTCAGACAAAAAAGAACTAATTCAAAGTAATAATCTCGTTAACAGACCTATAGAAATCCAGGGTAAAGAAGCAATAATTTAGCCAAAAACACACCAAAATGAGATTCTTTCCATAGCCGACTCAAAAATCTGCTCAACTCCAAAGATTTTCTTATTAAAAATGGAATCGTTCCTCCACAATCAAATCGACCACATAAACCCAAAGAGCGCAATGTTCCACAAACTCATGCTAAAATTAGAGAAGGGATAACCAAACTAGGACAACAAGAAAGATTTAGCATCTCCAAGGCATATGAAATTAATATTCCATTTTGAGAACCATTTTTGCCAAATACAACGAAATGATGTTCAATGCAATGAAGAAACTCACATGTTGCTGCCGATTGTTGCCGAAAAGCTCAAGAAGCAGAAGCAATTGCTGTCGAAAGCTCCAATAAAGAAGTTAGATTGTTGCCGAAAGCTGCAGCCTCCAATTAGATTATGTTGTTCCCGTTGTTTTCTTAATGCAAAATGACGAAAATATCCTGGGGACGTATGTGAAAGTCACATGCCGTCCCCAGAACTCGGAGAAATGTCCCCGACGTTGTTCAGGCGTACCCTGCCACCGTGGAACGTCCCCGGTACGTACCTCAGCCGTCCTCGTGCTTCCTAGCTCAGTACACATTGACTACACTTGACAATACAGTGCATATCCAAAAGGATAGTTCCCTTAAGGCTGTGCTCAGCACACATTGACTACACTTCATAACAATGCAGTGCATTCCAACGTAGTGACGCCTCAAGGTGCACCGTATGTTAAAAGCAGTTTAATGGGTAAAAGCATTCGTGCATTCAAAGCAGAAAAAAAAGACAAAATACGAGTAAAACATTAGCAATACCATTTATAGCAACATCTCGTTCAAGGTATTTAACAACATTGATTTGTCTTCATTTCTGAAACAACTCTATCATCTAAACATGTTGCGGAAGACGGCTATCGGATAGAGCAAAATCGCAACTGATAATTTGAGAAAATAAAAATAAAGATAAAAGAGACACAAAATTTACGTGAAAAACCCTTGAATAATATAGGGTAAAAACCACGGGCAACAGTAGAAGAATTTCACTATGAGAAAATAGGAATTACAACTTCTCTCGATCTACCAAGGAGAAAACAATGATAATTCTCTCTTGATAAAAAGGAGAAAACAACTCTCAAGAAACTCTCTAAATTCTCTCTAGTATTGGAAGAAAGCTATAATGCTTTGAGATAGTTTTGAAGCTAAATGAGCTAGGGTATTTATAGTTGAAGCTTTAAGGACTAATTTGTAAATACCCTAAATTACAATGACTAATTGCATAGTTTTACCATCCAAAATTTTCAACAATTTGGTGGCCAAATTTGACCAATTTTGCCACCCCATTAATGCCACCAAATTGTCACTCATAATGTTGACAATTGATGCAATTTGGTGTGCCAATTTTCAACAATCTCTCACTTGAAGATTTGATTGGAACAATCATATCTTCACACCATTCTTTCTACCTTGTACCTTTCATGTTGCTTACGTTTCTGACAGGCCACAGGAGGATCGACACCAGGTAAATTTATCAGCATTGATTGCCTTCGTCATGAAATCTGCTATGTTATCTTTGGTATGGATCTTCTGCATATCAACCGTTCATTCTTCCACCTTTTCACGAATGAAATGGTACTGAACTCGTATGTGCTTAGTCCTTGAATGAAATGTTGGATTCTTTGCTAGATGCAATGCGCTTTGACTGTCACAAAACAGAGAGACATACTCTTGATTGTGCCCAATCTCCTCCAATAGCATCTTCAACCAAATTACTTCTTTACTGGCTTGTGTAGCTGCTACATATTCTGCCTCTGTTGTGGACGTAGCCACAACTGACTGCAATTTTGAAACCTAGCTTACAGCTCCACCAGCAACTTTGAACACATATCCTGTAGTAGATTTGCTTTTATCCAAATCCTCTGTATAGTCAGAATCTACATACCCATTGATTAGTAAGTTTGATCCTCCGTAACATAATGCAACATTTGAGGTCCCTTTGATGTATCTTAGGATCCTCTTTACAATATTCCAATGCTATTTGCCTGGATTCGCCATGTACCGACTAACCACTCACACTGCTTGTGCAATGTCTGGTCTTGTGCATATCATAGCGAAAATTAAACTTCCCACTGCTGATGCATACGGTACTTGAGACATCTCCATCCTCTCTTCTTCACTGCTAGGACTCATACTGGAGGATAATTTGAAGTTAATAGGAAGAGGGGTAGAAATTGGCTTACAATCTTGCATGCTAAATCGTGACAAGATTTTCTTCAAGTAATTCTTTTATGAAAGCCAAATCTTCCTATTACTTCTCTCTCGGTGAATTTGCATCCCTAGAATCTTGTTTGTTGATCCCAAGTCCTTCATTTCAAATTCCCTAGCCAGTTGTGCCTTCAATTCTTCAATATGATCTTTGTTGGGTCATGCAACCAACATGTCATTCACATACAACAGCAATATAACAAAATCGTTATCACCAGACCTCTTGAAATAAGCACAAGGGTCTGCATTAAGTCTGTTGTATCCAAGGCACATAATGAAGGAATCAAATCTCTTATACCAACACCTCGGCGCCTGCTTTAGACCGTACAGAGATTTGTTCAACCTGCAAACCAAGTTCTTCTTTTTTTTTCTTCAAAACCTTCAGGCTGGAGCATATAAATTTCTTCTTCAAGATTTCCATGAAGAAAAGCTGTTTTAACATCTAGTTGCTCTAGATGTAAGTCCAATGTAGCACACATTGCCAAAACTACTCGAACTGTTGTTAGTCGAACCACAGGAGAAAATATTTCATTAATATCAATACCTTCTTTTTGAGCATATCCTTTGACCACCAGTCTTGCACGATATCTCTCCACTTGATCGTCACCATTTCGCTTGATTTTGAAAAACCCATTTGTTACCAATTGGCTTCCTTCCTTGTGGTAGTGGCACAAAGTACCATGCATTATTTTTTATGAAGGGCTTCGATTTCTTCTTGCATCGCCATCATCCACAGTGAAACATCTGAGCTGTGTATTGCCTCCTGGTATGTTGATGGCTCACCGTCCTCTGTTAAAATGCAGTATGCAATATTACCTTCTGTAACATAATCTGAGTGCCAATTGGGACGTCTTCTCACACGATCTGATTGACGAGTTATTGGAGCTTCAGAACTCCCTGGTTCTTGTTCATCATGTGTTGGTTCTGCTTCAGAAGAATCTCCTTGTTCAACCTCATTTTCCACATGTATCTGTGTAGTCTCTGACTTTTCAGCGCTATCATTATCTTCTTTTCTTTGTAACTTATCTTCTACAAAGATAACATCCCTGCTAATGATCACTTTGCGGGCAGTAGGATCCCACAAGCGATACCTCTTTACTCCATCAGCATACCCTAAGAATTTGCATTTCCTGGATTTTGGATCCAGCTTTGAAATTTCTTGGGCGTTGTACATTACGTACACAATACTTCCAAATACATGGAGGTTTGAATAATCAACTGTTTTAGTAGTCCACATCTCCATTGGTGTCTTCAGCTCTATTGCAGTTGATGGAGCTCGATTCACCAAATAACAGGCGGTATTGACTGCTTCTGCCCAGAATGATTTTTCTAGGCCTGCATCCCTCAACATTGCTCTTGTTCTTTCTAACAAGGTTATGTTCATCCGCTCTGCCACTCTATTTTGTTGAGGAGTGTTCGTCAATGTGAACTGTTTTTTGATGCATTCTTTCCTGCAAAAGTCATCAAATTCTTCACTTGTGTATTCTCCTCCATTATCTGTTCTGAAACACTTGATTTTATTTCCAGAATCAAGTTCCACCCGCGCTTTGAAGTTTTTGAAAGTTGAAAACACATCAGACTTCTTGTTAATAGGGTACATCCAACATCTCCTGGAGTAGTCATCAATAAATGAGACAAAATATTTTGCTCCGCCTAGGGATGTAACTGGTGCTTGCCATACGTCAGAGTGAACCAGTTCTAGAACACTTTTGCCTTTAGAATTTGATGTGTTGAATTTCAACCAGTTATGCTTACTTGTTATGCAATGCTCACATAAAGTAAGTGATACATTTGTTAAGCCTGGAAGTAGCTTTTGCTCCATAAGGACTTTCATTCCTTGTTCTGACATGTGTCCAAGTTTCTTATGTCATAGCATTGCAGAATCTGAACTACATGAGGCAACAGAGGCTTCTGCTTCTAACAATGTCTCTCCCTTCAGTATGTACAAGTTTGCAGCTATCTTTTCACCTTTCAGCACCACAAGCACTCCACGGAACACCTTCATGATTCCTTTCCGTGTTTCAATCTTGCTAGCATTATTATCCAACAATCCGTAGGATAATAAATTTTTCTTCAGACATTTCACGTGCCGCACATCTCGAACAACTTTAATTGTTCCATCATACATCTTCAATTTGATGGTTCCCACGCCAACGATCTCTAAGGCATGATCATTGCAACTATACACAGATCCTCCTGAGACAAGTTCATAATGATGGAACCATTCTCTTCTTGAGGTCATGTGATATGTTGCTCCCGAATCAATGAGCCATATATCTGCAAATCGTTTTCTTCCTTCCACGGTGGTTGACGCTTCACAGCATAGAGCATCTCCATCATCTGAAGTGTTTGCGGTATTGCCTTGTGGATTGGAGTTTTTATTTAGACTCCAACAATCATTCTTCAAGTGACCCTTCTTTCCACAGTTGTAACACTTTAAATTCTTCTTGCTTTTCGACTTCGATCTACCATGATTATGACTGCTGCTTTGGCCACGTTCTGTTGATCTCCCTCTCATCGTTGTCATCGTTGTCAACGCTTCTGCTTGTTGCAGATTTACTTGTCTGTCTTCCTTGTTCTTGCGCCGATTTTCTTCTTTTAGAACAACAGCTGCAACGTCATCGAAGACTAGACTGGTGACATTACTGTTTGTCAAGTTAATGATGAGTTGATCATATAAATCCGGTAGACTTTGAAGTAGAAGTTCAACACGTTCTTGTTCTCCTATTTTACAGCTTAAGGATGTAAGCTGAGAAAATAAGGTGTTCAGTGTATTTAAGTGCTCCGTCACTGAAGTAGATTCTGACATACGGAGAGTGTACAATTTCCTCTTAAGGAAAATTTTATTGTGCAGTGATGTGGCCTCGTACAATTTGGTAAGATGATCACATATCTCCTTAGATGTCTTCTTATCCTCGATGCTTGACAATACTTCATCTGCTAATGCTAGATGAAAGTTTGCCATAGCATTCCCGTCCATCTCGTTCCATTTGATGTCATCTGCAAAATCTACCGGCCTTTCATTGATAGCTGCTAGACACCCGTCTTTCCTTAGGATGACCTTCATCTTCAATTTCTACAATGAGAAATTTCTCCCATTGAATTTTTCAATATCAAATTTTGTTGCCATAGCTTCTTTTACGGATAGCTCCCACTATTTTACTATCGTGAATAGTTCTCTAGAACCTTCAAAGAATGAGTAATAACTTCTTATTTTCTTATGTTGGATGATCCACCTTTTGGTGGCAACCACAAAGAAAATAAGCATATATTACATACTCTCTATGAGACACAAAGACGGCTATCGGATAGAGCAAAATCGCAACTGATAATTTAAGAAAATAAAAATAAAGATAAAAGAGACACAAAATTTACGTGGAAAACCCTTGAATAATATAGGGCAAAAACTACGGGCAACGGTAGAAGAATTTCACTATGAGAAAATAGGAATTACAACTTCTCTCGATCTACCAAGGAGAAAACAATGATAATTCTCTATTGATAAAAAGAAGAAAACAATTCTCAAGAAACTCTCTAAATTCTCTCTAGTATTGGAAGAAAGCTAGAATGCTATGGGATAGTTTTGAAGCTAAATAAACTAGGGTATTTATAGTTGAAGCTTTAAAGACTAATTTGTAAATACCCTAAATTATAATGATTAATTACATAGTTTTACCATCCAAAATTTTTAACAATTTGATGATCAAATTTAACCAATTTTACCACCCCATTAATGCTACCAAATTGTCACCCATAATATTGACAATTAATGCAATTTGGTGTGTCAATTTTCAACAAAACATCCGTTGCAGACAGTTAAAAAAGTGCAAAAACCCTCAGTTTCCTTCAAATTTTGGGTCAGCCATCACGAAATGATACGCTATAACAAGCACGAAAATGAAGATTCCAAGGAAATTCGCAAAGAAGCCGAGGTCTTGATCGTCAATCATCTGAAACAATACAAGAAATAACAAAAGCATAAATCGGTTTCAAAACATAAATTTATACTTATTCAACTCCCATATTAGGCTGACAACAAGCAGTTTAAGCCTTTTCCCTATCCTTATCCCTTAACCTAACGCTCATTTCATCTAAACAAAAACCATATAAGCAAATCGGAAAACAGCAGAAGGTCAAAAAAGAAACATCAAGGCGTGATCTCTCAATCAGTAAAGCTAATTAAACAAGGAATTGTTCTCATAAAAACGGAAATATGAAGCTAAAATCTCTTAAGAAAAAGTTGGATCTTTCTTAAATTACGAGATCAAGAACTCGAAAACCCCAATCATAAAGGTTTCTAGTACCAAAATAAACGGAAATTTTACGATCTGATTCGTCTCAAAGCGTGCCCTAAAAATTGGAAATTAAAAATTAAAGGTATAGAAAATTGGAAAATAGGGATTGTGTTATAAAATTTATAACAGAATATTAGAAGTTAAGAATATATATATATATATTAATGATAGGTTTTGATTCTCTTACCTTGACAGCTTTTGAGCAATGAAGCAGACGATCCAAGCAATCCGATTTGTAATTGTGATCAGCGCTCAAAAATTTTGTGGGGGGGGGGGGGGGGGGGACTTGTACAAGACATACGTACAAGACATGTTCCAGAGTCCGTTTCTGAACTACGTCGTTTTACAACTTGCTTTCTAATTTCCAAAATAAGTAAAATTAATTTTGTAAAAATAAGGGGAGAAATTGAAATAAAATATTATTTATAATATTTATACAATTAATATCTAAAAGTAACATATTTACAAAGAAAACTATTGCTCCCACCCCAAATAATATATCTATAAATAATATATTTATATTATAAATAATATTTTTTAAATAAATTATAACAATAGGTTTGAGGGATATTTTTATTTTTGTAGGAGATGTAATTTATCATTTTTATGTCTATATTATTTTTACATCAATTTATCTTTCGAAGTTGTTTTATTATATCTCTTAAACCCTAAAATATATATCTAACTTAAAATCATATATCTTAAACCATAACTTTAAACCTTAAATCCTTAATCTCAAATCGTAACTTAAAATCATAAATAATAGTAAATATTTTAAATATTAATACAGTTAATACAAAAACATCATAGCAACGAAAATAGTAAATTATATATATTACATAGGCAAAAATAACTTTTCAGCCTAAATAATATTTATAAAATTATATTATAAAATGATATATTTAAATAAATCAAATTACGATGAGATATTGACCTAACCTAACAGTTAAGTGTTAGATAATTATTAATTTTTAAATTAAAATAATTTTTATTTTGGATATTAAAATAGTGCGATAAAAAAAATATCATTTCGGTATGCCATTTACGTCGACAAACAATTAATGATATAGTGATATAATTAAAATAAAAACAAAATTTCAATGATTTAATTAAAATGATTGAAAGTTTAACAGTATGAATAATACATGATTTAAAGTTAAGTGGTATATATTGTAGTTTACCTAAAAGAATTAAACAGAAAAACAAAATGTAATTTGCCCAATCCCCAAAGCCAACTCAAGTCTGTGTCAGCCGGTACTTTTCAAGCATCTAGAGTTTACTGTAAGAAAAACATCAATGGTTGAGATTTTGAGAAACTTAGATTTCTGTTTAAACAACAAAAGCAGCCTAACACAGACCTAGCACTTCCCATTCCTCTTTCTCAATCAAATTCCTAGGGTTCCCTGTCTCCCCAGCAACACCAAATGTATCAGACAAATTAGATTGTGTCCCAATATAAATTTAAATTGTTCGATTCACTTGGAACCCAGTATAGAACAAGGGTTACTATACTCTTCAGATCCAAGTGTTTTTCTTTTTTTCCTTTTAATAAAACAAATCGTTTCATTTGAAGATATCATTTTAAACCCCTTACAAGGTTTTAAAAGAAGCCATGTCCGCAAGGATTTGTGGGAAAAGGGTGGGATTTGAAGAACTATTCGGATCCTCTTCCAAGAGATTCAGGTGTTCCAGTTCGGATCCTGGGTCCAGACCCGATGACCCGGTTTCAACGTTCTCTGCTTTGGATCATGAGGTTCATTTCATTATAATCTTTACATGTTTGTTTTATTTTTAATTTTGATTACTGGGTAGAACTTAGATTTTGTTTATCGTATCTTCTTTGTTTGAAACCTTAATTATGTCGTCATCTTGTTTTATGCTTTTAGTTAATAACATCCGTTGTCCGAAACCACGACAATAAGAATGAAGATGTTAAGGAGAGTTCGAATGCATTTTCTTCCGATACTGATGAACGAAATAAACAACATAATTTTGATATTGTGAGAACTGGAAATTGTACCGATGATACTGCTACATGTAAGTTGTTTATCTGTGACTTTCGATCGAGTTTGTATGTTCTGTTTTGTTTGGAATTTACAGTCGGTTTTCAGCTTTTGTTATAAATTAGGTAGCCAAATCTCAGGCTACAATGTTGAGTGTAACGGAAATGCAGTTGATTCTCCCAAGTGGACGGATTTGTTTGTGCAAGAGATGTCGAGTGCGGCAAGTATAGACGATGCTAAGGCCCGTGCTGCTAGGATTTTAGAAGCCTTTGAGGGAAGCGTTGTTGCCAATAAAAGGGCTGCTGAAGAGGTAGTAAAAAAAAGACTTTAAATTTCTCATTAAGCTTTGCTCCCGTCCTCTATATGGCTGATCGTTTTTCTGTGATACATGATCACGAATCAGATCAAGCATGCTTCTTTGAAGGAACATTTGCGGAGCTTGTTGGATAACAATCAAATTCTGAGGAGATCTGTTGCCATTCAGCATGAACGCAACGTCGAGCAAGAAGGAAAGGAAACAGAAGTACAACACTTGAAGCTCAAGCTCAACCAGTGCATCGAACAAGCTCGAACTTTAGAGGTATTCAACTTTTCAAACTCTGCGTCTATTAACTGTCTTTACCTGTGCATTGGGTGTAAGATTACTAGAGTGACAATGTGAAATTTGTTCCGACGTTCGATTCATACCTCCTCTAGTAAGACCAATAACAAAGCTTTACGTTTTCGGGATGCAGCTGAACAACTACACATTAAGGCTTCATCTTCAGAGGACACAACAAAGTAGCTCAATTAATGGCCAACTTCCCCCCGACATATTCTAAAAGCTTTCATTGTGTTATCAGAACTTAATGGTTATGATTCTACTAGTATATCGTTTATGTAAACCGACGAATGACATGAATTTGATCCTGTATTGCAGCAGTGAGTCACGGTAATCGTTTTTAAAGCAAGAAGGTGAGACCATCTCCTATACTTGAGAAGAACAAAAGGCTTATTTCCATTATTGCAGAGTTGTTTTCGTATTGAGCCAAGGTGTTTTAAATTGTTAAATGATCGAAGATGAGAAACATTCAAAGTTGTTCCATCATATGCTGCAACATCTATTTAACTGAAGCTCGTACGAGTAAAGATCAATTGTTTTCGTATTATGGATATGTTCCCACAATTATCAATTTTAATTAAACACTATGAATGTGCCATTAAAGGATGTGTGACCAAAATGCAAGCGTTCAAAAAGTTTGAGGGACTATTTATAAACTTTAGCCGTATTTTATAATTTTTTGAAAAATTTTGATGACTAAAATGATTATTTTAGTATGATTTAAGGACCATATATGTACTTTATCCAAATTGCAAGGACTTCAAGAAATAAGCTGCACTTTGGAAACGACATCGTTAATACCCCGATCCTCATTTTTATTGCGCAGGAAAAAACCTACAGCCTTAATTTTGCGTTTCCCGCCGAATCCCTGTAAGCCAGCCATAGCTTTGAAAAATCTATCTGCTGCATCCGACAATGGATCCCAAAACTCCCCACAAAAACGATGGCAACGCCACCCAAGAGGACAGCAATGACGGCAGTTCATCATACTTTCAAAAAACAGTAAAAAAAAATCTGCTTTCTATGCTCCCTGCAGTCAATGGCAAACATTTTTCTTTTTTCTTGATTATTTATTTTTTTAGGTTTGTTTGCAAGATTGGTGGTTGGTCAGAGCCGAAAAATAGTTCGAAGGAAGGATATTAGCTGTTGCAGGGTCCACATCCATAGGGTAAGATTTTCTTTAAGCTTCAGGGTTTCTCTGGGATTTTTTTTTTTTAATTTACGAATCTGTGTGAAACAGGTCAAAAGCGTTTCGGCTATTTACCTCTGCACCGATTGTAAAAGCTTACGATATTTTTACTCTCCAGACAGCTGATGGAATTTGTGTTTGCTTAAGAGGTTTCATCAACGAACAAAGAACCATTGAAAATGGGTTTTCTCCTGAGGTATCCTAGAAATTCGATTTCTTCCTTCTTCTTTTTTCGTCTTTTTATAGGGATCTTTAATGTTGTTATTCATAATCCTCGGAAAAGAAAGAAAAAATGTTGTTTGAAAGTAATTGATTTTGCATCAGGCTTAATTTCAGTGTTTCCCAGGTCTAGATTTCAAGTTCATAGTGATTTTCTTTTATTCTGAGCAGGTATTCAATTATTTTTATGTCGGCTTTCCTCCTTACCGGGAACAATATGCTAAAGAGTGTTTGGGGGAAACAATTTCCTGTGACGTCGAAGTAGAAGTTGTCCGAAATTCTAGTAATGAAGGGAGAGATTCAGGTTTCTGTACGTGCATTTTGTTTATTTGGTTATATAATTAGGCTTATATTCGATGGCAGAATGTGACTTGATTATTTTGCCCATTCTATGATAGATGTTCTCGAAAATTTCATACGGGTATGAAGTAAGCTAGTGATTATCATTACCAATTTTAAGAGGTGTTCTACCTAGGGGTGTAAACGAGCCTAGTCGAACTCGAGTATTGCTGAGTTCGACTCGACTCGACTCGAAAACTCTGAAATGGAGCTCGATTCGACTCAAAAACTCGTGAGCTTAAAATTTTCAAGCTCGACTCGAACTCGAAATCCTGAATTGAAGCTCGTGAGCAGCTCGAAAAGGCTCAAAAAAAATCTCTAGTAGCTCGCGATCTGTCTCGTCTTATTTACAATCCTAGTTCTACCATTTCAAACAACAATAGGTAGTGTTATACTATACATATAATTATACATATAATTATACATATAATAGTACAAGGGCCAAAATAAAATAAGAAAAATGGGCCAAATTCATAAAAAAAAAATCTAAACTAAAGGAAAGATCTACATTGGTGAGAAATTACAAGGGTTGTCACGCATCAAAACCATTAATAATAGGGGAGACTGAAAATGAAAATTAATAAATAAGAGAAACTAAAATCAACATCCAATAGGGACAAAAATAAAATAATAAAAAGTATGGGGACTAATCATGCAAATAAAGTAAATCACATATAATGGAAATGAAATAAAACACATAAATAACATGACAAACTAAAATGAAATAAAACAAAATATAAAGTTGAATTTAAAAACAAGAAGAAAAGCAAATGTTGGAATTTAAAAAGGCGAAAGGTAAAAAAAAAACTGAAAAGTAAAAGGGCAAAATAATAAAAGCTAAAAATTAAAATATTGAATTGTAAATAAGAAAATAAAGTTAAGAAATTAATATTTTACTTTTTAACTTAGACAGTAATAAGGGGTTGTATTCCAGGACGGGTCACCGTAAGGTCGTATAACAGTTCGAATGCAAAAAAAAGTTAGCGGTTAGTGAAATTAAAAATAAAATAAATGTTAGTAGTCAGCGGTTAGTACCGTTAGAAATAAAAATAAAATAAAGGTCAAGAGTTAGCAATTATTAACATTAGCATCTTAACCTGGATCGTAATAACAAGGATCGTACCCCGGGACAGGTCACCACAAGATTGTACAATGATTCGAATATAATAAATTAAAAGTTAGTAGTTAGTGTTTAGAAGTTAGAAAGTCAGCAGTTAGAATAATATTAAAAGGGTTTGGATCATAATAACATGGGTCTTATCGTAGATCGGGCCACCAGAAGATCGAGTCAAGGTTAGGTGCAATGAATAAACAATTATTAATTAATAACATAAATAAAATAAAATAATAAAGAAATTCATAACAAAACAAAATCAATAAAGAAAAAATGCATTCGAATCGAATATAAAATAAATAACAGAATAGTAAGATCTAACATAGATGCAAGCAATTTGAACAGCCAGTGACCAAACTAGAATAAAGTTAAAAACAAAGTTAGATTCGAAAATAAAAATAGGGATAGGTAATCATTTTGCAAATTTAAGCCTAAAGTATAGTGGCTTATGCGTTATTTACTCTAAAACTCCCTCCAAAAACAACTAAGAAAACAAAATCGGGAAATAGTATAATTAGGACCCCTACTTTGCAAATAATGCGAAACGCACGAAACAGGTGACCCGTTTACAATCCAACCAACCAACACTTTGGTCCCGAATTCCTACGATCCAAGTTTTCCACGTTTACAATTGATTTGGAGTTACGACAAAATTAGGGTAGTACACACACACACACACACATATATATATATATAATCAACACTTATATAAAGTATTTTTATTAGATTAATCGAGATTTATAAAATTTAAATTAGTCGAGACTTATAAATTTTGAATTAGTCGAAATTTATTATGTTTTCTAGTTATATTTTATTTCGAAACTTATTATATAATTATCTTTTAAATTAGACGAGACCTACATAATAAGTTTTGACCAATCCAAAATTTAAATTTACTATGTTTTCTAATTATATTTTATGTTGAAACTTACAAAAATTATATGTTTTAACTAATTTAAATTTTGTAATTATTGATTATTCTAGTAAGAATACTTTGTATAAGTGTTGATAATATGCCTATACGTTACATGTATATGTTATATATAATATTTATTTTTAAAAATATTTTTATTTTTTTAATAATTTATAAGTAATTATTTTATGACATATTATATATATTCATTTAAAAAAACTTATAATATTTATAATTAAAATAATTTTGATATTTTAAAAAATTAAATTAGTCAAGACTTGTAAATTTTAAATTAGTCGAGAGTTAAAAATTTTAGACTAATTGAAACTTACTATTTTTTCTAATTATATTTTATGTTAAAACTTATTATATAATTATCTTTTAAATTAGTCAAGACTTTCAAAAAAGATAATTAGAAAACGTAGTAAGTTTTGAGTTTTGACTAATCCAAAAATTATAAATCTAGACTAATCTAAATTTTTTGTAATTATCGATTAATCCAATAAGAGACTTTGTATTAGTGTTGATAATATGACTATACGTTACATTATATGTTATGTATAATATTTTTTAAAAAATATTTTTTTTATTTTCAATAATTTATAAGTAATTATTTTATGATATTATATATATATATATATATATATTCTAATTTTAAAAATTATAATAGTTTTAGTATTTTCAATATGTATATTCATTTTTTAGTAATTTAATTTTTATTTTAAATATTTTTATATTTAATTTTTTAATATTTAAATAATTTTATATTTATAATTAAAATAATTTATATATGTATAGAAAATTAAATACATCCTTGAACATTTTTATAAAAAAATCAATTTATCCCTCAAACAAAATCAAAAAACCAATTTAGCTCATCTGTTATATCATCCACCACATCATCAGCCACCATGAACTACCACGTCAGCATCGTGGACTATCACATTAGTACTGTGAACTGCCACATTAAAACCGTTACTGTCAACGACGAATTATGCTAGTCAAAGGGTCACATTATGTTTGTTTTTTGAGTTGGAAGACCACATTGAGAGAAAAATAATACAATGGTCATATTAATTTTTTAAATGACACGTTAATTTTTTTAAAATTAGATTTCTAATGCTTTTTGTCAATATAAATAAAGAAGATATGTGTTTGGTGATGTTATGGGATAATACCCATTTTAAAAGAAAAATTAAGAGAATAGCATCTCAAATGAATTTATTTAGAAATATAACACTCGTTTCAATTATGCATGATAAAGACGTGATTAGTTAAGCGTGCCTTACCGAAGATGATCTTAATTGGTAGCGTTTCCGACTTAAAAATCTATAAAATTTCACGTTGTAGAATAACAATATGTCACGTGACATTAATATCTCGAGAAAATAGTGAGATTTAAATTTAATGGTCAAAATTAGTCAAAGATCTTAATTATTCAATTTTTCGCTTGAAAGTTCAATTGATTTAATTTATCAATTTAAATGTTCAATTCAGTACAAAAATTAAGAGTTTTTTTTTTTTTTGAATTGTAGAGATGAAAGCAGAAACTCAAAGTTTACAATTGAAATGTAATCAAAGTATCATTAAGCAGAAGCTACTGCAGGTCTGCTGGTGGCTCTTTGAAAATATGAGTATCAAAGCTTTGAGAGATAGCATACTTGGCTATTGTATCAACAAGAGAGTTTCCTCTACGAGAAATCCACTGGATAGTAGTGACCCAAGCTTGTTTTCGAAGCTTCTCGATGGCACGTACCAAAGGAAGAGGGCT